AAGCGAGGCACCACTGTATATTGTCTCTCTGCTTATTTAACTTATATGCAGAATACATCATGCGAAAGGCAGGACTGGATGAATCCCAAGTCAAAATTCAGATTGCTGGAAGAAATATCAACAACCTCAAATATACAGATAATACTACTTTGACGACAGAAAGTGAAGAGGATTTAAAGGACCTCTTAATGAGGGTGAAAGAGGAGAGTGCAAGAAATGGTCTAAAGCTCAACGTCAAAAAATGAAGATCATGGCCACGGGTCCCATCACCTCCTGGCAAATAGAAGGAGAAGATATGGAGCCAGTGACAAATTTTACTTTCTTGGGCTCCATGATCACTGCAGATGGTGACAGCAGCCACAAAATTAAAAAACGCCTGCTTCTTGGGAGGAAAGCGATGACAAACTTCAACAGCATTTTAAAAAGTGGAAACATCACCTTGCCGACAAAGGTCTGCATAGTCAAAGCTATGGTTTTTCCAGTAGCGATGTATGGAAGTGAGAGCTGGACCATAAAGAAGGCTGACCACTGAAGAATTGATGCTTTTGAATTGTAGTACTGGAGGAGACTCTTGAGAGTCCCTGGAACTGCAAGGAGATCAAACGTATCCATTCTGAAGGAAACCAACCCTGAGTGTTCACTGGAAGGACAGATCCTGAAGCTGAGGCTCCAATACTTTGACCATCTCATGAGAAGAGAAGATTTTCTGGAAAAGACCTTAATGCTGGGAAAGTGTGAGGGCAAGTGGAGAAAGGGATGACAGAGGACGAGATGGCTGGACAGTGTCATCGAAGCTACCAACATGAATTTGACCCAACTCCGGGAGGCAGTGGAAGACAGGAGGGCCTGGCAAGCTCTGGTCCATGGGATTACGAAGACTCTGACATGACTTAATGACTAAAAAACAACAACAATCGTCCAGAGAATGGATGGATAGAGAATGTCCATATAGAGTTGTTCCGAGGGAAAATGTAAATATCCATTTATAACTTGCGATCTCATGTAGGAAAAAAATGCATTTCTTTTTATGCATAATATTTTAAAACTACCAACAGTATACTCCTGACTGGAAGTGTTTGTTGCTAAGTTAATTAACACAGTTTGGGTGCCATCTTTTGCTTCTTCCTTTGAAAATGCGTCCTAAATAAAGTTGAATAGCTTCTCTCTTATAATTCATTTGCTCTATCTGTGTGAAGCTTAGGAAAAAGTGACACAATTCTTCCCCGGGGGGAAAATGCAGGAAAAGGTTTTTAAATGTCTCTATCACTGTCAGCTTAAAAAGAAGAAGTTGCAAAAACTAGAGAAGTCACGTGTCTGAGCGTAATTTTGTTATTCAAAACTGAAAGTAAAGTAATGTGGAAAAATACTCATCTCTTTGACTGTGGTTAAAATAGTTTGAAGCTGTGGAAATATGTTCCAGCTCATTGTTATGATTCTTTTTGTTTCTGGATTTACGGTAGCTCAAGAAAAGCAGTTGCTTTGCAGATCAGATGACCTGGACATTTTCTACTCCTCCTGTAGTAAGTAAACCATGAGGTTGCTGTCATTTCATAGTGTTTGCAGACCATTATTTCTTCTTAAAATATCTTACTGAGGATTGAGTCCCCTTTAATTCCTCTAATTCCGAGTTCTTTAATGGAGAGAAATTCTGAGTGTATGCGTGTGTGGGGGGGAGGTAGAGATCTATTTCAATAATTCCGGGTTCTTATCTTAATAAGAGAGATGGGGCAGGGGTTCTTTGTTGCATTATGTTTTGTTATGTTGTGAGATCTTTCACATTTGGCACAACAGAATATGCTTAGAGCTCTTGGTGCATCTCCAGTTTTCTTGAAAGCTTGCAGATAGCATTTGGGGCATGTACCATTCAGACTGAAACTGTTCTTTTGGAGGTGGGGTGGGGAAGTAATGCTTTCTATCACATCATTTTCTCAGTAAAAATAGGTCCACTCTGAAAACTACTATTTGCCTCATTAAGATAAATATGCACCTATCTGCACTTTATCATGTCATGTCACAATTAGCAGGTTTAGAGACGTGATTTGCAACAGAAAACAGAGACTGATTGTCACATTTGCCTGCCCTGTGAGGATATTAACATGTCCGAGACACTTCGTCTAGTTAATCCTTTCATTGGTCTGTAACTTCCACATTTTATGGACCTCTGTCACGCCCTTTACCAGGAACATTTTTTCTCTTCTGCTTGCTTCGTTGTTTACTTAACATCCCATCCAGAGAATATTTAACTTAAATTCAAAGGAAAAACTCGCATAGCTTTGACTATTCGGACTTTTGTTGGCAAGGTGATATCTCTGCTTTATAAAACTACTGTCGAGGTTTGTCATCACTTTCCTCCCAAGAAGCAGGCGTCTTTTAATTTCGTGGCTGCTGTCTCCATCTGAAGTGATTATGGAGCCCAAGAAAATAAAATCTGCCACTGCTTCCATTTCTTCCCCTTCTATTTGCCAGGAAGTGATGGGACCAGTGGCCATGACCTTAGTTTTTTGATGTTGAGCTTCAGACCATTTTTTGCACTCTCCTCTTTCACCCTCATTACAAGGTTCCTTAATTCCTCTTCACTTTCTGCCATCAGAGTGGTATCATCAGCATATGGGAGGTTGTTGATATTTCTTCTGGCATATTGAGTTTTCCCAACTTGCTGGCATATTGAGTGTAGCACCTGAACAGTGTCATCTTTTAAGATTTTAGATAGTTCAACTGGAATGCCATCACCTCCACTGGCCTTGTTGTTAGCCATGCTTTGTAACTCCCACTTGACTTCACTCTCCAGGATGTCTGGCTCAAGGTCAGCAAAAACACTATCTGGGTTGTCCGGGACATCCAGATCTTTCTGGTGTAATTCCTCTGTGTGTTCTTGCCACCTCTTCTTGATGTCTTCTGCTTCTGTGAGGTCCCTCCCATTTTTGTCCTTTATCATTTCCATCTTTGCACAAAATGTTCCTTTAATATCTCTGATTTTCCTGAACAGATTTCTGGTTTTCCGTTTTCTATTTTTTTCCTCTATTTCTTTGCATTGTTCATTTAAGAAGGCCCTCTCGTCTCTCCTTGCTATTCTTTGGAAGTCTGCATTCAATTTTCTGTAACTTTATTT